GCAGGCACCATTAGCTTTAAAAACAGGCATGTGTTTAGGAGCTACTTTAATACCAATGTTCTGATAAAGTCCCATAGACTTCTGGATAAAGGAGAAGGCTTACATGCTGTTGGTTGTTTGATACATTAGTGCAGCTATTTTGGAAAACAGCATGGTAATCTCTCAAAAAGTGAAAAATAAGAGCTACCATGTAATGCAGCCATCCCACTGCTGGGAATAGTTGCAAAGAAATTGACACCAGTGAGTCAAAGGGATGTCTGCATTCCCATTTCACTGCAGCAGTGTTTACAGTTGCCAAATAACCAATGTACCTATTGACCATTGAAAGGGGCGTGATATATATACACAATGAAATACTATTCAGTTTTTTAAAAGAAGGACATTCTTTCATACAGTTCTAGATGCAAGATAGCTTGAGCTTTCCCCAAGTCTCACACCTGACTTTCTCAACTTTTAAGTCTGCTACACAAGTATTTTCCAGGTTTTCCTCTCATGGGAATCATAGTGCTTTTCTGTAAAGATTAGTGAAAAATTTAAATGTCCTCACATATACAAGTCAGCACCTTTCCTGAACACTCATTAAGCTGAACAGAAGAACCATAACAAATAAGTCATAGTTCCATCTCTTCCTGACAAAACTTACTCTGGCTTCTCCACCCAAAATCCGGTACCCACCCCCACCCCACCCTGCCAAAGCAGTACCCTTTCTAAGATATCTTTCCTCTATGTACAGCTGTGTGAATGTGCTGCCCCTTGTTATGGCTACTTTGCTTGCTGGAAGAAACCACATCACACTGACCTGCTCTTCCTCCAAACGAGTTAGACTGCTGGTGAATTCTGGAATTCTAGTGAGAAATACCCCTCAGTGGGAGAAAAAATATTGTTTGATACCTCTCTTTCTCTCTGCCTTCCTCTCGCTCTCTCTCTCTTCTTTCTCTGTACACACACACACACACACACACACACACACACACACACACATCCTTGGCCAAGGTCTCTAGTGTATTATATTATAGTGTACATTCTGTCCATAAAGCCATATCTCATAGGAGATTCAGTCCTGTATCATTATTAAATAGTCAAGAATACAAGGCTCTCTATTTTTATTTGCATTCCCCTGATTTTCCTCCCCTCAAAGTCATAACATGGCTGCAGCCATTCCCATTATCATGGTATAGTACAGAATAGCAGGAAAAACAGGATGAAAAGAAGAAAGAAAATCTTCTCGTTAATCTCTCTGTTATTATCAGAGAGGGATATTTTTTCACAAAGGCCTCAACAACCTTCTATTTTGTTCCCAGTAACCTGAATTGCTTCTTACTTCCAAACTGAACATGGAAGGGAGACACTAAAAGAAGAGCCCGACATTTAAAACTTCTCCAGTGAGAGGCAATTTCTGTAGTGAAGTAGTTTTAAGTAGGCAAACAAATGTCTGTTTTATGCCATCATGTGACTATATCACATTTATCTGTTCTCAAACTGATGTCCGTTTACATAGTTTCCAGTTCTTAGGTATTATGAACACTTCTGAAATAACTAGACTTATCAATTTCCCTTTTGTTACAGATGTGTAAGATTTTCTCTGTAATATATAATATATACCTACAAGTAATACTGTGAAATTAATGTCCATAAATATTCTATTTGTAGAAAATATTAAATAAGACTAAATTACTTTTCTTTATATCTATATTAATTTATATTCTTTCCAGCAGTACATAAAGCCTTCTATTTTTCCCATATCTTGTCTTAGGTTTGATATTATTCATCATTTTTGCAAAGTGAAGGATGAAATGTGTTTCCTCAGCAGTGTTAGTATTTTTAAATTACTGGTGAAGTTGTGAAATTATTTGTTAGTATTATTTACCCTTTCATTAATTGCCTGTTCTTAATACTCCTGTTTTCAATATTTTAATGAAATATAGATACACATATTATATATATATATATATATACATATATATCAGCAAAAAAGACTAGTCTCTCAAATTATGTATGTATAAAGATTTTTTAGTAATAGTAAAATCCAGAATCAGACAAATTACTCTTACAAGATTTTCAAATGAGAAAAATCAGTATGCCTTGCCCAGGGAAATTAAATAAAAAGAGGAGACTAAGAATAATTGAGGAAATGAAGGAAACTGGAAGTAAGGAAAAGACAACCCCTGTAACAGCTAAGCTTGTAACATCCAAGAGGACAGACTGACATTTCTGCTCCCAGGCAATGTTTATGTTAGGAAATAAGCTTGGCGCCTTCACTCCTATCTGGGGTCTGAGAAGGAGAAAAGAAAGCTGGAGCAATGATGAAGCGAATATAGTACACAGCCTGAACAGCCAGCCCTCCATCCTCTCATCTGGCAAGAATGCCTGGGTTCACCATAATTGGAGTGTGCTCTGCAGAAATCAGAAGGGCTCCCACCACTGGTCAATAGGAAACCATTTCCAGACTGATGAGAGAAAAGGTTAAGGGTAGAAGCTGAAGGAGAGAAGGAGAAGGCAAGCCAGAGTTGGGGTCGCTCCAGGGAGAGGCTGTAGGGATGGCTCTGGAGGATTCACACACACACACACACACACACACACACACACACACACACACACACGAAGAGATAGTATTTGAACTCCTGGCCTCAGAGAACATCCACTCCTATTCTCCTAGTCTCATCCACTTCTAGACTAATTTGTATATCCGACATTTAAACTTCCTAAAAGAATAGCTGAGTTTTATTATGGCCACTGCCTCATAGGAATGGCCCTGTATGTTCGAGTGGTGCCCGTTTGTCTCTCCAGCTGCAGGCCAGCCTCTGAGGAGCTGCTTGAGACAGACACTCATTCCTGGTCAAACTGTTGTGGCTGGTTTCTGGTCCTGAGACATGTAAACATGATAACTGCAATTCAAGAATTCAAGGGTTAGAGCATTGATGGAGACCACTATGAAGGAGCTCTGAGCAGGATTTTAATATTTACCAATTAGCTTTTCATGTTTACCTATGAGCTTGCCTGAGGCCTAGGCTCTTGTCTGGAGATGGGCAGTGACTCATAGTAAGTGAACCTCTATGAGTCACTGGTCCTCTTGAGCCCTGTATTGGCCTGTAAAGTTGGGATGTCTCAAAGGACAAGATAAGGCCACAGCTGAGGACTTTTGGCTCCAACCCCAGTTAACTATAAAGAGACTATAGCTGCAGGCATCTCACTCCTTGGGTAAAAGCCTTCCTGGAGATAACATAGTTCTCCTAAATTAACATAAAGTATTCCCTGAAAAAGTCCTTAAAAGGATTCTCAAGTCCTGCCCAGATTCCTGCATTTTCTTTAGTATTTCCCTTCTTTGTTTGCAAACCAAATAAACACAGCTGCCCAGAGAAGTTCTTTGTCTAAAATCCCAGAATCCCCAATTCTGTGAGAGGGTTTGGAACCTCCTAGAGCCCTGCAATCATTTCATTAGACTCATTTATTTAAGCCTTTGCTGTCCACTCATTTGGGAGATTGTGGGCCTGATCAGGGATATTATTAATGTGACAAAGCATCACACCTACTCTAAGTTTACTTCAAGTGAGACAGTGTTTGTAGTGTATCCAGAATATACGGCAGACATTTAAGCTATCATTGAGTATTTTGCTAACAAACATTTTATATGTCATGCCTCCTTATGTTTGAATATGTCTCAACAAATTAATCTTTTGATTGCAGATTACTATTCCATCATCTCATTGTTTTTATTTCCTGTTTCCTGAATTTTACTAAAAATGCAAAGCAGATGCTTTCTAATTTTAATTCTGTTGCCTAGTGCAATATTTAAAGCTATTGTTTTCCTTTGCACTTTGGTTCAAAGGTTTTTTGGTTTCATTATCAAGAATTCTCATCTTCATGTTAAATTGCTCCAGTTTTTACTTCTTTGAATGATTAAATGTCCACACAGGCTTAGAGTTTATCATACATAGGGTCAATAACTTTCACTTTGTCTCTCTCATGATGTAATAATTACTAGAATCCACCTCTCATTTCTGAAACCACCAATTAGATATTTAATACTTGGAATAGTTGTCCTGAACCCAAGAAAAGGTATCTAGCCTGCCTGTACAGCTATGAAATAATGCCTGCTATTTAGAAGTAAAGTGCTTCACTGGTAATAAGAGGGCTCTCTTTCGATTCATCTGTGAGAAATGATAAAAAGAACCTAGCCATGAAAGGAAGAAAGAAATCCAGTGACATTAATAGAACAAAAACAGTTTCCAAAAATACACAGAGCATATGTTCAAGGCATTGGAATTGGCAGAGAAACAGTATCTACGGACACCTTGTCTTCAAGGAAGAGTGTTCAGTGATTTCTTGGGAGCTTGATTTTTCTGGGTTGGGGAATTCAGTAGGTAGTTACGAGGGCAGCCTGCATTGGATAGCTATGCTTGTCCTGGATTCCAGCCATTTTGTGTGTGGAATCTCAGAGGAAAGATTTTGTCATCATTTTTAATTACCCTCGCACTTTGGTAGTGGCATCCATGGCAAGCTGCTGAGAAAGCATGTAACGCAGGGATTTCTAGGTCAGCACTGACACAGCATTTAGCAGAATGGAAACATTCCCAGGACAAGAAAAGGGAACGAAGGATTTAATCTTTCCTGTAGCTCAATTTTCCTATAAATAAGAAGATATTATTTAAAGAAGATGGGTAAATAAATGAAGGGCAGTCCAGATAGATAAAAAGGAAATAAGCACCACAGTTATGACATAAGTATGCCTTTATGGAAATAATCAAATCACCTTAGGAGCAAGAATCCACATTCAAAAATATTTTCTTCATCCAGATGTAGTAACAAACCATCAAGCAAAATGCAAACAAATCCTGAAGATAGGAAAATGACAAAGTCAAAAATGAGCTGGAGAATATTTGCATCCAGAGGGATGTGCTTTCTTTTACCAGACAGTGGTGGGAACAGAAACCTGTTTTCTACCTACAGATTGGTACTGAGCTGCCAATTCTTTGTCCAGAAACATACTTTGGAATAGAAGCATGGTACTCCGTCAACTCACTATCATTTTCATCATCATCTATGCTTTCGAGTCCTTGACAATAATGGCACAAAGCAGTTTCACTGTTGCCGTGCTGGGCAGAGAGTGGATGCAGGTCAAAAGATGGTCACCTGTGGAAATGATTCTCACCAGCCTGAGCATCTGTCGTTTTTGTCTACAGTGGACATCAATGATGTACAATTTTTGCTTTCATTTTAACCATGATTATGTGCTATTGCACTTAGGAAACATCTGGGAATTCACTAATATTCTCACATTCTGGTTGACCAGCTTGCTTGCCGTCTTCTACTGTGTCAAGATCTCTTGCATCACACATCCCATCTTCCTCTGGCTGAGGTGGAGAATTCTGAGGTTGGTTCCCTGGTTATTATTGGGTGCTCTGGTGATTTCTTGTGTGGCAATTATCCCTTCAGTTATTAGGAGTCACATCCAGATACAGTTAGCCCCTCTGGAGCATATACTCACAAACAGCACTTTGATTGAAAGACTTAAAATGTTTGAGCAGTATTTTTTCAGGGCTCATAAAATGATTATGATGACTATTCCCTTTTTTCTGTTCCTGATCTGCACCATCTTCCTTATGGCATCTCTGATCCAGCACTGGGAGCAAATGCAACAGCATAACACTGGCCACTCCAACGCCAGCCTAAAAGCTCACTCCACTGCCCTGAAGTCTCTTGTGGTCTTCTTCGCCTGCTTTGCAGCTTACTTTCTAACTGTAGTACTCACCTTTGCAGGCATCAAACCTATGAGAGAACCATGGTTCTGGGCCTGGGAAGCCATCATTTATGCGATAGTTTCTATTCATTCCACTTCACTGATGCTGAGCAGTCCTACCTTGAAAAAGACTATAAGGATGAGGTGTGGGGGCCTAGAGTCTGCCTGAGGCACAAGGTACAGTGAGACTCTGGGCAAATGGGAGTTTCCACTGGTATAAATTAATGCTAATACCAACACTGCTCTTGTCAACTACATAGGTGAAAGTGATACACCGTGAATGCAAGCCTCATTCTCCTTCATCCCCTCTGCCACCTATCTCTAAATACTTAACCTTGTCTCTACTTTGATCCATTTCTTGTCTTTCCCTTCCACCATCCTCAGATGGGTCCTGGCTTTCTCGTGATGTCCCCGTTGTCCTCAGTGTTGGCCACCCCTGAAATCTCACTTCCAATGTATTCTGTGCTTAACTGCCACAATCGTGGTGTCCACCCACCATTTTATTCTTCTCATGGCCACTGACTGTTTCATGCTCTAACAGGAAAGCCTTCCCCACGAGAAGCTATTGCCCACTTGCTGAACATTCTCCATGCCAAACCCTTAATTCACTTTCCCAACTCTAGTTGAGAGAAGGTCTTGCCATTGAGTTAGCATTCACTCACAATTCTGGAACTTTATCCAGTGGCACAAATTCCTTATTTGTTTCCCTTCCAAATACTGAGTGAGCCTTCATTCCTCTAAAATTCAAGTCAAATTTGTGCTCTTCATTAATTTAATCTGCCAAGACTTTATATTTTCTCCAAAATCACAGGCCACTTATCCAACTTAGATTCTTATTTAAAACTCTCCAATTATTTATGATTTAATTGTCAATAACATGATTTAGCCAGGTGTGTGGTGGTGCATGCTTGAATCCCAGCACTTGAGAAGCTGAGGCAGGAGGATTATTATGAGTTTGAGGCCAGCCTGAGCTACAAAGTGAGTTCAAGACCAGTTTGAACTGCATAGTGAAATCCCATCTCAAAAGTACATACAAAAAATATACGATTTATAGTGGCTTGATATTTTCCTCTTGATTTTACTGTAAGTTAGGGTAAAACTTCTAGAAAGATTCCCATTCCCATATTGAAGCACAATTGATTTTTTGGCCATACATAAAAATAATATCTGAGTGACACTTGTTTAAATTTTCTATACTTTTTAATTTTGTACTCTATGATTGTCCAAAGTCCCTCCCAAATGAATGACAATATGAGAACCACACAGTAATCAATTTTAAAATTGCCTATAAGAAAATACTGTTTTTACAAATGCTTTCCATCTCCCTGTGGCGTCTCTCTTTATTTCCCTCCCTTCTTCCAGCACCTACTAGCAACCAAATGTCTTGGTAAAGATCAAGTCCTAGGTCTTTCAATCTCAGCTTCTATCTACCCACCCACCCCAGGCACTTATAAACTATTTTTTTTCTAAAGATAATTATCTCCTACAACATTCTGGTGTCAGAGGTGGAGAATGTAATTTTTCCACCTTTTATACCTATTGAATATGTCTGACAAACTGAACTTCTGGCTCTCCCACTAGAAGATTGAAATACCTTATTAAAGTAGACCATCCTACGGAAAAAAAAAGATGCAGGTAACTCAAATTTGGTTGTGAAGGAAGGCATGGCCCCTGCAAAGACATGGATATTCTGATTTGACCTCTGTTTGGTCTCTCTAACTTGTTTCCACATTGAATTCATACTTGAAACTGAGAGCATGAATACAAGTACAAATAAAGGACTAATTTTGCAAATCTACTATTGTATAGAAAAGACCATGAGCTGCACTATCACGCTCACAGCAGCACTCTATGTTGTAACATTGCCTCAACTCTAGCAGTTCAACTGCAGCAGAAGGTGGTATGGAAACTGATGGATGCACTCATGGTTAGGAAGCAGAGTCATGCATGACACTGAGCGAAAGAACTGGAGATAAAAGTATATGTTGACATTGTTTGATCTGGCTGGGGGCCCCGGGGAAAGAGGCTGGTGGGGAGGTGACTTGCATGGATTCGGGATTCTGCTGGAATAGTTTGTGCAAAAGCTGGTGAAATTTGGATTATTGTTACCTGTCATTGGTATCAATATCCAGAAGGGGTCTTGCTATTTCTAAAGTCTCAGATAGCTGGGAAAAATAAGGACCATTATTCTCATATGTGCATAAATAGAGAATGGAAAAAAGACCCCCTTCTCCCCCACCATCAGATACAGTACACAGATACAATTCAGAAGCTGTCATATATTTTTAGTGTTTTCACTGTCTTCTTTGTAATAAAGTGAAATAGAGAATTTAGGAGGGGATGTTAGGATCGGTTGAAGAGGTCCAGACATTAGAAAACAAGAAAATAAAGGCAGAAATAGTTTCCCTACATATTTCTGTCATCTACTAGTTCACAAAGAGATGTTGTCATCCACCTACAACATCTCATTTTGAAGAGATAAGGACTGCTCAAGACTGCCTGATCCATACAAATGAAAAACAAACTTAAGGATGAAAGATGTTTATTTAAATTCACACTGCTGATTAATGCCAATCTTATAGCCAATAGAGAAGGAGAGACAACCGTGGGATAAGTTTGAAGGATGCAAAAAGTTTTAATTATAAAGATACAGGTGATAAAAAAGAGATACTTAAAAAAAGAATGTAAGAGAGATTGTGACCAAGAACAAGGAAATTCTTTTGATATCTTCTGCTTGCTGAATGCAAAAGTAACCCAAGGGCTATTGGACTTGTTTTGTCTAAGTTATAGAGACTCTACCCCATATAGTACCCATTATGCCCAGCGTAGGGTGTGTTGCCTGATAACTCCCAACAGAGAGTGTACAGGTGGCAGTGAATTTAAGAAAAGCCCCTCTGGGTGCTGAGTACATACACTGTATAGAGCATATACAAATCCAATCACTGGCACCTGGAAAGTAGACCTTCCATCCTCCATACAACGCCCCATAATCTTAAAGACTGTCTTGTGATTCTGAGGAGATGCACAACAATGGTAAGTCCCTGGTGACACCCAGCATGGGGCCTGCTCCTAATTAGTTATTCGCTGGATGATACTCTCTTCTTTATCCCCTTTCCTTCCATGCAAAATACATGGATTCAAAGACTTCAACTGCACCTTTTTGACTCTTTCTGAGCCTGGTATTCAAGACCCCAAGGCCTGACTCTGCTCATCTGCCAAGCTGTGAGTCCCCAAAATCTCCTGTATAACTCCCCACTGTTTGCTGCAGACGTATCCCCTCATCACTTCCTGAGTACCCATACATCCCATGCATAAGATATTTGAATTTGCATAGGAAATATCCATGCATAAGATAAATGCTCTTCACGTCTGCTGATGCCATTTACCTTTCTTTTCCCATGTTTCCTGTTTAACCATATGCCTGATTTCCCTCTACCCTTCATGACCTGGTACTAGCTCAGCTACATGCACATATACTAAACCCATCACTGACTTTTGCTCTTCAGGGTAATTTTTTTTTCTGTAACATCAGTTGTCTCTGTTGTTTTCTCGACATCAAATGTAAGTTCTATCTCATTATTAAATTTCTTTGTCATTTATTTCTAGCTTTATAATACTGCTTTCTACATGCAAGAAATTCATTTATTACTGTTGGATGACAAAGAGATGATGAATAACAATCCACAATTCTGGTATTTGTAAATACAAAAGATCTTATTCAATAAATATTTCCTGTCAACCTACCGTATACTGCCAGCAATACAAAGATGATCTGGCAGCTTGGCCAATGTGTGTTCCACCTGGGAAATGAGAGTTTGCTTGTGGGCTATGTTACCCATGGTAGGGTCACTTAAACCAACCATGAACATTCTAGTTTCAAGAAGCCCTGGTCGAACATAGCTACAGATGTTCTACAGTGGGCTAAGGTGTATAGTGGATAAGTGCTTTTCCCTTACAAAAGAATAAGGTACAGATATCTTCTGAGAGTTCTGAAAAACAGCCAACATGTGGAGTGACAGAGGTACTCAGGGTCAAATTACAACAGCATCACACGAGCTGTTGACCTTTTTTCCTTTAAGTTCTCCTCCCCTCCCACCTTGATGATCTATAATCACAATAAGAAGAAAAAAAGGTGCGATCAGTGATTGCAAGAATTGACTCCTACTTTCTTGCTGCTCTCAAACCTTTGCAGCAGCTCAGATGGAGGACAGAAGCTTTCATTTGATATGAGATTAACCTTCTGATTTAGACTCTCAAACCTGAAAATAAGAACATTCATAGTAATATATGGGACCTGAAATGCCATTAAGGGTTGGGAAAGGGTGATCTTGAGAATTTGTTTAAAGGCAAGAGTTGGAGAAAAATTTGTTTTTTCGTGAGCTCTACCTATTCGATAAATTTTTACAAGAGTCATAAGAGTCAGTAAGCTATGAAAACCCTTTTCATTTTCTCTGAGATTGCTTTTCTGCAGTGCGTATTTCTTTCAATTTATAAAAGTATGCCAAGACAATTTTCTTTCTCAAAGGATCTAAAGCAAAGACCAAAGTGAAGGCCTACCTCTGGTAATCTTAGTTTCTTTGTCACCACAGCCATCATGACTACCTCCCCACAAATCCAGACAAAGCAATGTAAAATTTGGTGGCTTTATCATAAAATCTCTCCATGCCTACTGAACACTCCACATAGGATTCCATTCTTTTTCCATTCTGGTGTCTATGTTTACTTTGGAACAATGGCACTTTTCCTTATTTTTCATGTATTCCTATTGTAAAATATGGCAAATTCTTTTCAAAATTGGTCTTGTTGCTATAAGGGAGACAAAGAAAAAGACGAGAAGAAAAAGGGACCAAGGTGAATGATATGGGTAGCATCCAAGCAAAGAAACATTCATGACATAACTATAATTGCAAACCAATTTTTAAAAATTGTTCAGACCTGCTTTTGTTCCAGAAATACATATTAAGGGAGAGAATTTGGGGAATGTTTTCTTATGAAGTCTAGAAGAACATGTACTCACAATCAATGTGACTTAGAATAACGCCAAATTGCTTTTTAACAAGAGGGGGAATTGTGTCTTACTTGGCCCTTCTACACAGAGCTTTTAATTTACCATCCGTCTGCCATGTCCCAAACTCCCAAAGCAACATTTCTTTGAGACAATTTCTTCTA